GCTCGAAAAAAGTTAGGCGTGTCATTCGGATTGAAACGCTAGCGACGGATAAATTTACAGCGTCCGCCCCGCAAATTCACTCGTGGCCCAAATGTATGTGTACGTGTTCGCGTGCGAACATTACGAACTATTTCGCACGCCCGGAACGACGCGACGTCGGTCGGCTACTACACGTGGCGCCGACGCGTTAACGCCCATCCCTCGTACTTCGTCGAAGACGGAAGTTTAGCCCTCATGCGACACGTAATTTCCACACCGACGGAACTTTCCAGTTGCGCGCGGAGAGAGTTGCGAAGAGAGAACGAGGCGAAGAGACGAGGAAGAGGAGAGAACGTGAAGGAAGAGGAGGAGAAGGAGAAGGAGGAGGAGGAGGAAAAGGACGACGACGACGACGACGACGACGAAGCCGACGATAAACTGGAGCTCGTTAACATCAACCGTGGAGACCTGACCGTACGAGATACGCCATTTCTGTAAATAACTTTGACCCCTTCCCGCTTCTCCCGCTTGAACTTTCCCACTTCCGTCCGGATCTGAAAGGGAAGAGAAAGGAAAGGGCGAGAGATAGTCGCGAAACGATCTTTTTATGGGGGCGGAAACTGTGGGAAATTAAAAATTATTCGTCGTGTAAACGTTTGCGCGGCGTATCCTCCCTGGAAGGACTCCACGGAAAATGACGGAAATGGGGACAATAGGCGTCGAGTGAATAAGCGAAAAGCGCTTGATTTTTTTGTTTCGTCGTTTCCGAAGAATATGACGAGAGGAAAAACTGAAAGGGAAAAATGTTAATTTTATTACGTATTGCGAGCTTGAAAAGCGTTTAGTAACTTTTCAGCGCGCGTGCACGTCCACATTCGCACACGTGATTCGCGCTTAAACCTTTTCCGGTGATAGAGCGCGTGCGGAAGTTGAATTCTGATACGGATGATTTCATTTAATGACGACTTTACTCCTCGTCGTTTCGCCATTGTTTCGCCGCTGCTTCATTATTTTAAATCAAGTACGAGCGGAACAGAAAAGTACGTATGAATATTTACGCCGTGTACATTTACGTAACGTCTCGTTTCGGCGACGCGTGAATTCGCGAGAATTCCGCGCTTGTGAATTTTGACGTGTCATCAGGTTCGTAACAAAACCGCGGGCCAAAATATACAACGCTCTCTCGTCGAGACGCATTCAAAAGGTACACTATTTCCGGCTGTCGAAGCACATTATGAAAAACAAGCCCGTCAAAGTGGCAGCATGCAAATTTTTTTAATCGCGTCCTTTTTTTTTGCGCCGCTATCGCGGCAGATACACAAATTGGTTTAATACACCGCCATAATATGTAATAAAGCACTGCGCGCGCTCGTAATTCCGCGAGAGAGAACAAAAAAAAAAGAGAAAGAAAAAAATAAAGCACAACCTCCGCGGTATGCGCGGCAGCAGACGAAGGCAGGCGAAACGGCGGAAAAATTAACGAAAAGCCGGACTGGCGATATTTTCCCTGGACGTGCAGTTGCAACTTTTTTCATCGCACGCACTTTGCGGGTAGGTAACTACGAGGTAGAAAAAATACGTGCGCGAAATAAATCGCGGGTAGGAAAAAAGCCACTCGCGCCTATCGGCGCGGTAGTGTCTGGGAAAAATCTCGAGAAATTCCGGAATTCGCGGAGTTGCCGCTGCGATTTAATCACGCGTTTCTCCCCTCCGACGAAACTCAACGGCTCGAGGAGTGTTTTTCGTCAGCGGCCATTGTTTCTCACATCTCCTGAAAGGCTAAATGTTGAATTACAACGGTGATGTGTACGCGCGAATATGATACGACCGGCAAATATGTACCAACAAACACACGTGCGTATGTGTGTGTGGATGTGCATATTCATGACATAACTGGAGCATCAACACACAGCTCAATTGCGATATCAATGCGGTGAAGCGGTGTGTATATCACGAATCGGATTTAAGTACCAATAATCTAATTATTATTCCGTGCCCATCAATGTCGTACATCGATTACCGATATGGCCGCGTCTCTAATTGCAATCCTAGCCATTGGCCTAGTAAGAGGGCGAGCCATGATGGTATCGGTTACATTGAGCTAATTATGAAGGGACGATGCTGCGAGAATGTACGATCGCTTCGCAATCAGTTAAGCCCCGCAATACGCAGCAGAGCGTTCGTGACGCAGCGTGTACCATCTTAAAATTACGAACATTATTTTTTTCCCGTCTCTGTATCGTTCATGAAATATGAGGTGGTGGGGTTGGCAACCGTCTCGAACTCTATTTTAAATCCACAGCACGACTTCGCTTTCTTTATAATTTCTCGCACGTGCCCGTTCTAAAAATTTTCTTTGAAAATACTCGCGAGTTGAAGGATTGGCGGAACTTTGCATTTCAATGTTATCGCGCGCGTTTTGTATTCTAAGATTAAGACATAAATCCTCTTATGCGCCGAAGGCGGCGAGCTACGCTCGCTGCAAGTAACCTTTGAATCTTTTTCCTCCCGCGGAAAAACGTCAGATAAGTTTCGTCACGGCGGCGCCTCGGCATTCACCGAAAAGGCGCCGGTTCTTCTATGCACGGGATGTCCGTCATCGGAAAGAATTCCGCACGCGTTTCACATACCGACGTCAAACGTCGCGTCGCGCGCGCACGAGGCCCGAGAGAGAAAGAGAGAGAGATTGAAATAAGTCTCCGATATTTCTTACATTCCACGTGAGAAATGCGCTGGTTGATATTTAGACATCGTATATCGTCGTCGTCGTCGTCGTCGTCGTCGGGGAATGACGGAAACGGAAACCGCCACGTACGCGCGCAGCTCGAATGAAATTGATGTACATTTTTATCGCGGTGGTATCAGCACGCCCTTTGAAAATTTATAATGCAATAACGCTCACGAGACGACAACGCCCCGACGCCGTAAATATCCGAGTTGCGCAGCATGCGAAAACGTTTGCGCGAAAGTGAAAAGCTGCACGGCCTCGAGGCAAATCGAAGAGACGCGACAGAATTCGCGCGCATTTCTTTTTTCTTTACGGAAGATCCTCTGTGTCCTGTGTTGCCCCGGCAACTGTACATATTCCCAGTTGCTTCGCCATGCGCGAAAAGTGTACAAAGCCACGTCAAAGTGCTGACAATATTTTCAAATTTTTTCCCGCGCACGGACAAATTATTTTTGTCGCGCGCTGCAAGAGAGATGAGAGAGACGTGTAAGTTTGAATTTACAAGAGCGGAGCGGAGCTCTCGAATTTTCTCTCGACTGGCAGATAAAATAAATTTTTCTCTGCAACTTTTTATCTAAAAATTTTCCGCGCTGCATTCACACGACTCGAGGCAAAAGGAGGAAAAAACCATCCTTTCGAGACGCCAACTACTAGTTAGACTCGCATGCAGTTTTTAAAATCATTGGAATATATATGGAAATGAAAGAGGGATGTGTGTGTGCGATGAGAAGCGAATTTATTTCTTTTTGACGAAGTCGCGCGTGTGCCGCACACGAGTTGAAGAGAAAAATATAATAACACAGCGCACTAGATAGGTGTTTTCATCAGCTTGCGATCTCGACAGTTGGTTACAACAGTGTCGCTCGTATTGACAGACCGAGTGCTTGTGGCAATTTTCAAGACACGAGGATAAACGCAACACCTGTCGTTTTTTCCGAGAGAAAAAAGCGTTATCTTAAAACAGAAATGACGGAGAAACTTGACCAACTAACGAGCATAATTACAGAAAGCTCAGTATTGCGCGAAACATACAGGTGCTGTAATGATGTAACTTGGAAATTACCTTTAGGAATTGCTCACGCGGGAGCAATTAATACGCGGAGCTCTCGGGAGCAATGCCTCAAAGCACTAACCGTAATTTCAATTCATTAACGACTACCACGCGCGCGGGGGGAAGGGAGGCGGCATACTCGCCCCGGCAAAGAAATTGAGAGTAATGCCCGCTACAATAAGCGCAGAAAATTACGGGTTACGCTTGGAAATTACTTTAAGTCGGCGAGATATTATACAGTCCGCGCGAGGAGAAGAAATTAAACCGCATAGATGTACCCGGACGCGCTTTTCTTGAGAGACAGATTGAATTTTCTGCGCAGATCCACGCAGTTTGCGTTTTATCGACGCCGCCAACAGAGATTAACCTCCTGAGAGTTGCTATTAATATTTTTCAAACACCTCTATTTCTCATCCGCAGCTAACACGGATTTAAAACCGCGGCTACCTGAGAGAATCAGAAATCCAGAAATAAAATATTTTGCTTTGCGCAAAATATACAAATATACGTTGCTTGATTATTTATTTTCTCTTCGTGTATATTTGGTTAAATTGCAAAACACGGCAATTACTTAAAACAGTTATCGAGCGGTTCGCTCTCTCATCTCTAATTCAGACGGTGTTCCTCGCGTCTTCTGATTCCCGGTGTTGTCACGAGCCCGGCCTTATCCCGGTCGCGAGCAAGGAATTACGAGATCCTTCGACCCAGACGACCTGCGCCCGACGTACCCTCGACTGCCGTGTGATATATATTCGAGACCACGCGGTCCACTCGAGCACGCGAATAGGAGCTATTGAAAATTATATGACCGCCTTATCGCGCGCAGCTTCACGTTTCTCGTAAAGATCCCCGACAATCGAACAACGCGCGCGCAAGAGCCCCGAGGCCTTCCCGCAACGCATTTATTCCCTTCATGAATATTTATACATACACTCGCGCGCAGCACGGTTTTCCCAATTTTCCATTAAATCCCAGGATTTTCAACCAGATAAATTCGTCGCAAATACGCTAATTGGTTACATTAAATGTATAAATTTGTTTCTGGAAATGGGCTTTCATTGCGAATGGCTTTTCAAATTTTTGAAAGACGTTAATTTATCACAGAGTTGGACAAGCGCGCGATGAAAGAGTTGATGCAGAAATGAAATCGTCGACTGCGCGAGACGCCAGTCACGCGGAGAGTTTAGCGGCGAAAACGTTCGGCGGAATAATAAACCCTTCCCTTTTCTATGTGTGTTACAGATATCCAGGAATTTTACGAGCTGACGCTGCTCGATGAATCGAAGTCGGTGCAGCAGAAGACGGCGGAGACGATCCGCATCGCTGACAAATGGGAGGCCAGCGACGGGCCGATCACGCCGACCTTCGCCCAAAACGACGTGAGTACATTCTCTCCTTACAGATTTATTCTCGCGCGCATCGATGCGTCATTCCGCGCTCGGATGCGCCGCCTTGCATCTCTAAGTACACACACGCGTGTCGCTCGACACGTTTCTCCGATGCATCGACGGAGATTCGAGCGGATAAAAAGATTCGACGCCGCCAAGAGATAAATTTCCACACGTCCGCGTTTGTTACGCTTGAAATTAAATTACACGATATATGAGAAAGAGAGAGAGAGAGAGAGAGAGACGTGATGGAAAATAGATACGATCTAGACTGAATTTGTTTTCGCAAGCGAACGCTAATCACGAGACGTAACTGTAACGTAATTAGCGCCGGTAATTATGATCAGCGATAGTCGATTGCCCTGTATATAGGTTATCGCGCGAATTCGATCAATCGGCCAGACCGCTGATTTTAATTGCTAATTGCGGCCGGATTCCGCCTGCGATCGCCGCTGCGACGTTCATATCGATGCCGATGTCACAGAACGACGTGACATTCAGCCGCGTGGTCGTGCACTATTACAGCGTATGTTTATCTGGCGCATTCCGATCACGTCCGGTCTTCGTTTCTTCCCGGGATAACCCGATCGTTAACGTAATATCGCAACAACGACGGAATTATTATTCGCAATTGCCGCGTTCACTCTCGCAAAGAAATCACACGAGCAATAATACCGAGCGTTATTTTGTGTTTCGGGAGTTCGTTTTCCAAAAAACCACGCGCGCTGTTATATAACTGATATTTTTTTTCCCGTCATATTTCTATTGAAATTCTCTACACAACAAGGCGTATTGCCCGGGTGGCGAGGGGAAAGGGGAAAAAACCGCCGTTTCGAGTGTAAAATTTTAATGGTAAAACGGAAACTTTATCGTTCGAAAAACATTTTGAAACGGGAGAATATCTGTAAAGCCCGATCGACGTAACTTTGTGTAAAATCAAATAACACACTCTCTAACACCTTCTCGCAATTGCACAAACACAATATAATGAAACAATAAGCAGAAAGGGGAAGCTCTACACAGAGAGCAAATCGAGGAATTTTCACTTACGCGAAAATGGCACTAATATAGCAAATTGTAGCGCCGATGATGGGCGCGGGAAATGTGTGTACTCACACATTATACTTTCATCGCCCTCGCGCACTTTTGGGTTCCTTTGAACGTGCGGCACGAGCGGCAACGATGCGACGTTTATATAGCACATTCCGCGCGTTCATTTCATCGCGCGGCGGACAGATATCTCGCGCGCGTGTGTATGTGTGTGCGAGAGAAAAGCATCCTGTGAAATTCCTGCCCTCGCAGAGGCGACGTAAGCGAGAGCCGCATGTGTCGTCGTGTTAAAATGACGCTAAACGTATTAACGTAATGTTTTTTTGTAAATATAGTTATGGAACGCACGTAGAGAAGCGCGCGATCAAACAGAATACGCAACGACGAGGATTTTCTTTACAGAGCGTAACTGTCATATGCGAGTCATCGGAGTTGACTTCGATCAAAATTTTCAGGGTTTTCTTTGTCACAAACAACGAATGAAAAAGCGATTCCGAAAAACTGCACAATAGCTACACTGATGAAAAATATGAATAAAATATAAATAAAAGAAAACGTTCTTTTACATCATTGCATTTCTCTCCGTCGACATTTTTTTTACTGTGCTATTTGACGTGATATTTTTTTGCCGTCTGACATAGAAGCATCGTGAAAGAAACATACAGCGCAACATGTTTAATCCCTTGCCTTACAACATCGTGTGACACGGTTTCGTATTTATTCTAAATTTTTTAATCACATTTTCTATGTTATACAAGATTAATATAGTTTCTTGTTACTTGGTAAAGTCAATCCACGCGACCGGCAAAGGAAGATCGAGCGTATGGCCAGATTGTTGTTGGTCCCAGCGCGTAAGCGACTTTGTCGCTGACTGTGTCACACGTAGTCACAAATTAAATCGTAACGCAGGGGGTTAACGAGATTCTCGACTTGTTCGTTTTCCGACCCTTGTGCTGACGGCTGTAAGAGCAAGTAACAATGTTTCGTGCACCGAGCCAAGATTGCTCTTCTCTCTCTCTCTCTCTCTTTCGACGTGTATCTACATAATAAGCTACGTGATAGGTGGAGTGTCGACACGCAATATGTACGAGTCCCGCGCGCGTACTAATACATAGTACGTATCTGTACGATTAAGTAAACGTTATTGTGTACATCGCTACTTCGATTGGATTAGTCCGTCACGCGCGGTATTTCTCCGCGATGGAAGATCGAGATTATCCCGTTGATTCGATCTGCGTCATCATTTGCTTGACATACTTTAGGATGAACACACATTTTCACTTTTGTATCTACACACACACACACACAGACATCTTATGCGAGTGAATACGCGACAATTTTCAAGAGCAATAAACTTAACGCGAGTTAAATGAAGCATGTGAATGTATGAATTTGGAAAATAAGAACCAAATGCAAAGTTTTAATGCAAATAAAATTCAATACGTTTTGATTTTAACTTTATAGTTGGCAAGACCCTTAAGCATTCGCTTCTATTCCGTGGAATTTTCATCGCCAACGTACCAGCACAATGAATCGTATCAACTGTAAAACTACTCTGTTATAGTTGAATAAACTCTTACAGTTGTTATAAATTTACATTAATCGAGAGATAATTAATATAAGAAAATAAAGCGAGTGATATGCTTTTAAATGATTCAATTTTAAAATATTATCGTGCGAGCAGAAATTGAAAACCAAAAACGCGAGTGGCGGTTTTATCAAATATTGAATATTTGATCAAATATGTAATTTGATATTCTATTTTGCTCACAAAATCGAGTGCTCGATTACCGTGCCGATATTTAAAACTTATCAACTGCCGTGTACGGATAGTTAAAAATGATTTCCCGAACAAAGCGCCGAGAGGAAGGGTTTTGCAATTATCGAATGTATATTGAGATGCTCACAGTGTTTTTTTTTTTTTTAAATAGGATGACATATACGTTTATACAACACGTTAACATTCCTCTTCTCAAAGCTAACAGTTTAGTAATAGCATATGTTATAAATAACATTTGACCGATTAAACAAAACCATTTTATTTTATGTCCTCAAAATGTTTGCTTCAAAACATCGTTTTGAGCCAAATATCAGAAAAAAGGCACTCGGCAATTGAAAGGCATTTAATTATCGAGTTTTCGGAAAGCAATATATATCGGAGGGCAAACACTGTCAAGTGACACGCATCAGCGTTGTTGCAACAACAGCGCTCTCGAAACAACTTCTAATGGCGCATTAAATGCGGGTTATTACCGTGTTGCAACGACCGTGTTCTTCAATGTAACAGCTGCTTTGTTATTCGCGCTAACTTCGATACATATTGCCGATCGGTTGTACCCTCCGTTTGTTTTCCGAGTTTAAAATATATACAAACACACCATCACCAGTTTCAAACACGGCACATTCGCAACGATAATCCTAATTACGTAACAGCACGTACATATACAGGCTAAGTGAGTTACTTTGCCAGCAATTTTCGTGAAAGAGACGAGCTTTGTGTCAATTTTTGAAAAATCTACTCGCAAACACGTTCTTTCCGTTTTTTAAAAATCATGTAAAAGTTACATCGAGAGTACCTCATATTTTTTCATGGTAATGCACGCGGTGTAGTAACGTTTTTTTATATAATGTACATGTACGCACACGCACGCGAAGTAGGTTAAAGAAATATAATTTTTTATCGCGCGCCGGGAACAACCTCGCGGATATTCGCAAATCCGACTTTTTTTTTAAGGAGCGTGCCGGATATCGCCGCGTTGTAAACGGGACGATATTTTCCCTGTTTGTTTTCCATTACTCCGCGGAAAGGTGATCGTCGCCATCGCGCCGTTGGTGGAATATGCGCCGCTATGATAAGAATAGAGAACTGCACTTGGTGTAATGGAAAATTCTCTGCGCCGCTCGCTGTGAATATCCTTTCCTTCCGGTGTCCGCCTCCGGGTTCTTCCTTGCCGAACGAACGCGATTTCCCGCGGGAAACTCTTGAAATCGATAAGGGCCGTTCTCGCGCTCCGGATTCTCTCTGACCTTTCTTTTTCGCGAGGAAAGAGAGGGAGAGAGCGGGGAAGGGGGACAACGGGAGAGATTAAACTGTCGGTGCTCGTCCTGTCGGTCGATTTAAGTATCGGTAAACAATATCGGACAGTAAGTAATTTAATTTTCCGAAGGTTGAGCGCGCGCGCGCGCCGAAGGCTGAACATTTTCTGAAAACGGCAGTTTGCGAAAGAATGTTGCCTCCTCCCGCACCAACGACCTGAAAAACTCGATTACGAAATTACGCCGGTTAAAATGCGCCGTCGCTTTTTATACCGTCGCGCAGTTGCTCGCGGAAACAACGTTTATGCGTCTGTAAAAATATTCGGACGGGAAATACAAACACGTATAATGCCATTAAATTTTTAATATCGGTGGAATACACGCGCACGATAGAATTGTTACGGAAAAAAACTTTTCTCTCGTGCCACATTGAGGATTTTTAGATATACTTTTCCGAGCGTGAACCAACCGGCCGGTTAAGAGCGCGGGATTGCTCAGAGAACTTGGAAGAATGCGGCAACTTTTCTCCGACTCTCCCTGCCGTGCGCGGTGAATTTTAAGCTGGTCGCGCGCACAAAGCTGCTGTCAGACAAAGTCGCTTCTCGGTTTTGCGCGGCCGTCACGGGAGTTGACGTTTCACAGCGCACGCTGGAATCGAGGGACAGACGAGACGTTCTGTTCTCTCGTTCTGCTCTCGTGAGCCGAGATTGCGACTCGGATATATACGTGCTCGCACGGATTTTATTCCTTAATTACTTTCGAAAACTCGCGAGGAAGAAACGTCGGTACTCTTAAAATCAATAGCCTGACCGTGGATGATTTTGTTTCCTTTGTGATCCGCTTGTTTCTCCCGCTGCTCGGCGACAAAGAGAATTTATAGCGGGCAATTGCTTGCACCTACAAAT